AAACCAAACATCTGATCAAATCTCTATATCATATTTCAACAAACTGAGAGCCAATTTGGCATTATTTAAGACGCTGGGCTGGGAATCAAGAGATTGAATTCTATGCCTCCGTTAAAAATAAAAACCAACTAGGTGACTGACTGAGATACACTCTTTCAGCCCAGCCCACCTCACAAGGTTGTTGTTGTGGTGAAAATAGGCGGTAGGATCATCAGGTATGTTTTCTAAGGTTCCTTAAAAATATTTCTAAACATATATCTGATCCCCTTGTTTCTGATGGTACAAATTGTACTATATCTGTCCCCATCTTCTCAATGAATGGCAGTATGTAATGAAATCATCTACATATAGAGATAGAAAAACCTTAAGTGATTAGAGACCAGAGTAAAGTGGTCATACAAGATGTATCTATAAATGACTCACACAAGATCTATCTATATAATACTAAAGCTCTTTTTTGTCAAGACCTTTAATTGGGTGAAATGGTGCATCCTAGGGCAATAATTTTTGAACCAAGGTACCTCAAATGGGTTTACAGAATGTCTCCAAAATCTGGGACCCATGACTTCTGAGGGATTAAATTTGGGGAAGTTGTGACTGCCCTCTGTGCTGCTGATTGCTACTGTGCTGCTGCTGTGGTTGTGTAATCTTCATTTCCAATATTAACCATAGAACCATATTAATTCTGTGACAGTTTACCAGCAAGACTTTCTCCACCAACCAGGAGAGGGGAGGGGAGGGGAGGGGAAGATTTCCAATGCTCCCTGCCAGATTCCCACAAAGAAAGTCAATGGGGAAGCTAGCAGGAAAATTGCTTCTTCTATCACTGCTTTTTTGCCCAACATTGGTTATTCCGTTTCTGTTTAAGTAAGGAAATATCTTTGAAACAATGGGTCATTGATTGTCTAATTTTATACAAAGTTGTCTCATCCTATATATTGTTCATTCTGAAGAGTGCTCTACATTCAATATAATAAGGTAGCAATTGAAATCAAGGATGAAAGACTTAAGATTGAAGTCCTGCATTTTGCTAGTATTATCAGAGTCCATTATACTGAATTTCTGAAGTTACTGGCAACTTCTATCATTCATTAAAAATGAATTTCTGCTGTAATCCTCAATTCACTTATGTGGAAGAAAGGTCCCTGAATAATGTAGAGAGTATTTCTAAATTTAAAAAAAAATCCCAGAAGGGCAACCATATTAATCCACATAAGGAAAATATACATTTTGTAGCCTATTACAAATTTAAAAAAATGGTAGAAACATTCATACATCTAGAGTCCATTCTATCAGATGTGCAAAAATAAGCTATAGTAAAAGGTGTTGGCTTTCAATTTAATTGAAAAGCTTCCCCTTGTTTTTACTCAGTAAACATAGTACCCCACTTTTGTAATAAAATGCAAAAGAGATTCCATGAGCATGACATGTTCATTTATTTATATATTATCCATAATAACATTGTACTGGAGTCATAAGAAAGAAATGGGGGTTAAGGGAAATGAAGCATCTCTGTTAAGTGAAGAGCACTCTCAGTTCAGTAATTTCAAATGTCTGTTGAGGAAGTATAGCTTATTTTTTATACAAATGATCACAATATTTCATCAAGTTATTTCTGAGAATTGTTTCACTTCTATCTTGAGGAATATAGTGATACCTCAGTAGCGATCATTGGTTCCAGGAGGCATGATGAGTAGCAAACAATTTTTTTACCATTAGTAAAAAATTCCACGCTCACATGGAATTTTCCATGCTCACCCCATTCCTAAGAGGTCTGTAAGGGGCATGCATAAGCGCAGCAACATGCCTACCATCCCTGTCCTAAAGGTAAAGGTTCCCCTTGCACATATGTGCTAGTCGTTCCTGACTCTAGGGGGCGGTGCTCATCTCCGTTTCAAAGCCGAAGAGCCAGCGCTGTCCAAAAACGTCTCCATGGTCATGTGGCCGACATGACTAAACGACAAAGGCGCACAGAACACTATTACCTTCCCGCCAAAGGTGGTCCCTATTTTTCTACTTGCATTTTTTACGTGCTTTCAAATTGCTAGGTTGGCAGAAGCTGGGACAAGTAACACAGGAGCTCACCCCATTACATGGCACTAGGGATTCGAACCGCTGAACTGCCAACCTTTCGATCGACAAGCTCAGCGTCTTAGCCCCTGAGCCACCGCATCCCATCCCTGTCCTAATGAATGTCCTAATTAATTAATGTCCTAATGTCCCCATTTATTCATATCCATTTCATTTATTCATAATCATGTTTATACTTATATCTGTAATCTTATATATGCTTTACAAAATAAATAAATAAACCCTCCCCTCTCCCGCCCCCTCCCCCGCCGGTCCGCCACGCCGGAAAGGTTGGGACTCGCTGATCTACTTTATGGTTGTTGCGCTATTACTGCTGCAGAATTGCCAGTAGCACTTCTCAGACCTATTGATTTTTGAGAAGGAACAGTGGTGTCGAAAGTGCTTAAGGCCACACCACTTTTCACAGGATACTGACTAGAAAATATTCTAGCATTAAGTTTACGTATACTGTATACACCAGCCCTTTGCTTTGAGCAAGAGAATAATTTGCCTATTTTAGTAGTTCAAGCATTCAATTACAGATATGGCACCTAGGAAATGAGTAATAAACTTTAAGGGAAGTAAGGATTTCCTGACTTGCACAAGGCAAATAGGCACAGAGCCAAATATAAAAAGTACAACTTGATGTATGCCTGCTCAAATATAAGCTCTGCTAAGCCTAGTGAGACTTAGTAGAAAATCCCAGGTTTTTTATTTGAGACAGGGACAGCATCTTCAGTTTCTTGGTTATTTAATCATTGTTTTTAAATATGTGACACAGATTAAACATTTTGATGATGTATTACTATAAAGCACTTGCTAAAAATAGACGGACAGTTCTACTACGAGAGAGGCTTTTATTGTGAATGTTCAGTGATTGCTCATTATACAGGTTCTAAAAAGATCTAATAGTTTACTCAGCAGGCTCCTGAAATGGATAAATAGTCATTATTGGTTGTTAACATGCAGCTACCTAGCATGATACATACTTTGTGCCAAACCACACTGTACTTCAGCATTTATTACATGAATGGACAGAACACAAATATCACACACAGCTATCAGATCTATCAAAAACTGCAGAGACCATAGAGGCTGCATACGTGTGTTTTACAGAAGGCAAAATTCAGTATCACCAACACTGAAGGAAAAGCAGTTATGGGTGTAGAAAATCTTCTTCAATGACTTTCATAAAAAGCCCATGCAGGTCCATATTTATGCTTACCTTGATAAGAATATATAACTCAACAGAGTTCTCTAGAGATAGCAAAATTAGTTACAGCAGCAGAAAGTCTAGGGATTATAAACTACCTGTACAATATGTCTAAGAGCCTTTCCTAACTTGGTGCTCATTGGTTTTCAAACTGCATAACACCTGCAGGAAGGAAGGCCACAGATGGCTATCTCTGTTATTACTGTACAAAAGACAGAAAACTTCAAAGGGTTAATGTGGCTTCACTTTGTTCACATTATCATATATATAAACACCAATCCTACATTCTTTGAGCAACAATCCTTACAGTGCCAAAATATCACCGTGTCTGTGCAAAAGGGAAATATCTAAAGACTAAAAGTATCTTGAGAGAGAAACAGAAGGACTGAGTAAAAAGATAGTACTAGTGGGGGCCACTCAAAAAACATTTTTTAAAAAATAGTGGATATGCCAACCACATGTAGCTGAAATTTTAAGCACATTTACAGAGGCAGCTTAATTATTTAAACAGCACATGGTGCGAAGCAAAAATGTTTATTTTCAAAGAGCTGTGGGTGTTGGTTTAGTATGTGCTTTCTAATCATTTTAGTGTAAATCCTCTCACCTTCCTTTAATAGATTTAGAGTTTAATATCAAGATCTTAGCAAGGCTTAAATTTGACTTGCATCAGAAATACAACTTTTTGAGTTTTTGTGTGGATTGAAAAATGTTATTGAAGCAGCAATTTTATGGTGAATTTAATGTATTTGCAAACTCAATTTATGTGCATATAATTACAAGCTCTATTATGAGCTCAGATGAGCTCTGGCATGTTGATGGCGAGTGGATTGTTTATCCTTGAGTTTGGAAGATATGTGGGGTAGGTTTTGTGTTTTAATCCTGTACATTGCCCAGAGTCACTTATGTGAGATGGACAGGCATATAAATCATATTAAATGTATAAGGGCTTCTGATGCACCTGCCAGTCCCATTTCTACATATGGACTCTTTTTTCAAAAAAATACAGTGCTATTCATTATTAGTCATAGATTATTAACTATTAATTACTTCATTTTAAAACCGGGGTCACTCCGATTTTTCGGAAAGGGTAACAAGGACGGTAAATGCTTTTGATGTATACTTATTTTCTTTCACCCTTTCATATTACCAAATTAAAGGAAATGGGCCAGTAAACAACATTATTAGTAAATTACAACATGCATATTCCAGCCCGCCCAAACCCAAAGATTCTGCAACCGAGAGGCTGCCGATAGGACCGCTCGCCTCGTCTCTCTCTCTCTACCGGGAAAAAAGGCTGTTAATTAGCCACGAAAAACAACTACGCCGCTTTCCAGAGTTACGGACTTTGTTGCCCACGGTAGAAATCTCTCTCTCTCTCTCGGCCCCACCGGTTCCCTAATGAAAGATTTCCCGCGCGTTTTGCTTTCTGTCGGGTGGCGATTTCGACAGCCTCGGTGCATAGATGCTCCCGGGGTTTTTGGGGGGGTTGGGGGGGGTCTGTCGAAGGCATAGCCTTCCTTCCCTGACGTCGCGTCCCGAGTGCGATGGATAACTCTCCTACCATCGTCCAGCCACATGGGTCGTGCGGGACTAAGGCGTGATGGGAGTTGTAGTCCGGCCCAACAACACCAAAAGACAGGGACGATGAATGAATTCAGAGGCTCCCTCGCTTGATCGTTGGGACTTTCACGCTCCCCAGCCTCCCTTTTCCACTCACCGCCACGGAACAAGAGGAAGACGCGACGAAAACCCGAATGACCATCTTCCCTTCTTTCCTCCCTCCCTACATGCGCTTCAAGGCAGCTCCCTCTGCCAAAGTCTAGCAGCTGCGAGCCTTCCGCGCCTCCGTGTCGCGCCGCTTCGCCTAGACTAGAGTCTGCCTAGCCAGCGCCTAGCCTGCCTCGCTCCTCTAAGCGCTTCCGCCCTACGAGCCCGCGATCGCAGGGCGCGCCGCAGATAAGCAGGGCTGCGAGTGACTCCGAGATGCGGCAGGAATCCGAAGATAAGAGGAGGAGGGGGGGGAGGATGCAGGGTGCAGAGATGTCTGGGAAATGTAGTTTTACGGGCCCTGGCATAAACCGAAGCTGTCCGACTCCAAGTGAGGAATCCTTCCCTTTGAGAGAAGGGCGATATGCAAATAAATAAGGGACGGCACATACCATCACTTCGTTATTGGAAAAGATAACAAAATCATCTCAATGACAAACCAGTGGAATAAAGAATATATCAGTTGAACTGAGAACAGTAGGATAAAGAATTGACAAGTATGCAGCTATTTCACTGACCTCCTTAACAGATGTTTATGGAAAGATGATATGCAAAGAAGGGATGGGGGGAAACCAATGCAAAGACAAAAGCCATTGAGTGGTTGTGCATTTTCTGTAAATACTTACAACCTAACATTATATATATAATATATAATGCTCCTGGAAGCACGAAGCCGAGAACACCAGCCTGAAGATGATGAATGAGACTTCGTCGAAACGTCGCCAAGACACTTCCAATTTTACGTGGGAGAAGACCCGAATAACCAAAGACCTACATACAAACACCCGCGAAAACCTGAGAAAACAAATATATATATATATATATATGTATGTATGTATGTATGTATGTATGTATATGTATATGTATATGTATATAATATATATGTATATGTATATGTATATATATATATATATATTATAAACCAATCCATCACCCTCCACTTAGAGACAAACAACCTGCTATCTAACAAGCAGTTTGGTTTTAGAAAAAAATTGTCCTGTAATCTGCAACTCCTACACTGTAGAAACATTTGGACCACACATCTTGACCAGGGTAAAGCAATAGATGCAATTTACATAGATTTCTGTAAAGCCTTTAACTCAGTGTTGCATGACAAATTATTGTTAAAACTAAGTTCTTACGGCATCTCCGGATCTCTGCACAAGTGGATAGCCACGTTCCTGTCCAACAGGCAACAAATAGTCAAAATAGGGAGGCCCCAATCAAATTGGCACCTGTTAACAGCGGTGTCCCCCAAGGCAACGTTTTAGGACCCACGCTCTTTCTGCTTTACGTCAATGACCTATGTGATCATATTAAAAGCAGTTGTGTCCTCTTCGCTGATGACATAAAATTATTTAATACCACTGACAACGCTGCTGCCCTACAAAGCAACATTGACTATGTGTCAGAATCGTCATGCATTTGGCAACTCCAAATCTCAACTAACAAATGCTCTGTCCTGCACATTGGCAAAAAAAATCAGAACACCAAATACAAGTTGGGCGGAAATGATCTCGTAGACAACCCCCTCTTTGTCAAGGACCTAGGAGTACTCATCTCAAACGATCTAAGTCCCAGAGCTCATTGTAATAGCATTGCCAAAAAAAGAATTGTTAACCTAATCTTGTGAAGCTTCTTCTCCGGTAACATTGTATTGCTAACGAGGGCATACAAAACCTTTGCCAGACCAATTCTTGAATACAGCTCATCTGCCTGAAATCCACACTGTATATCGGACATTAACACAATTGAGCAGGTCCAGAGGTATTCCACGAGAAGAGTACTCCACCCCTCCACTCACAATAGAATCCCTTATGCCACTAGACTTGAAATTCTGGGCTTGGACAATCTGGAATTGCACTGTGGTCCGATCTAAGCATAGTATACAAAATTGTCTGCTAAAATGTCTTACCTGTCAACGACTTCTTCAGCTTCAACCACAATAATACATGGGCAAACAATTGATACAAACTCAAGGTTAACTGCTCCAAACTCGATTGCAGAAACTACGACTTCAGCAACAGAGTGGTCAAAGTCTGGAATGCTCTACCCGACTCTGTTGTAGAGCTTCAAACCCTCACAGCTTAAACCTCAAACTGTCTACCATGGACCTCACCCCATTCCTAAGAGGTCCATAAAGGGAGCATGCATAAGCGCACCAGTGTGCCTATCGTCCTTGTCTTACTGTCCCCATTTATCTGTACTTAACTTCCTCTGTTTATGTTTATATCTATATCTGCTATCTTGTACATGTTTGACCAACAAAATAAATAAAAATAAAATAAAATAAAACATTGTATGAAGGATGCAATTTCCCTATTTTAAAACCTCGCCCAGATGAATCCAAAGCAAGACAGAGTTCATTTATTTGCACCCTACCATTATTATTTTTATAACTAACTCAAGGTGATGACATATATGATACACCTTCCTCCTATTTTCCACATAACAACTACCCTGTGAGGTGATTTGGGCTGAGACAGAGTGACTGGCCCAGCTGGCTTTCATGGCTAAGGAAGGATTAGTTGATGGATTAGTATGTGTTATTTGTAGCTGTACAAGAACTAAGAAAGTTTGCTTTGAAAGTGGAAATTCTTGATCTTTAACACAGATATACCCTTGATTCACATTACAAGTCAGACTAATCTATCCCTTTGGCTATAATTTGTATTTGGCTCCTAATTCAGGTTAATGCACTAATGTTTCCATTAGTGACTCTTTCCTTTCACGCTTCTCAGATCCTTCCTCTTGATCTTTTGCTTTTGAGTCAAAGATGGTGCTTGCCTTTTTATTTATTGTCTCTATTCCTTTGGGGCTATTTTAATTTAGATTTAGGAATTTGTACCTTTGCTTTTCTTTATTCCTTGGAGTTGGAAGCCCAAGACCTGACAGTTAACATGAAAATATCTTGATTGCTGTTTGTGACTCCCTTTAAAACATTAGTCCTGCCAATCTTCTAGCTCCACTTGTTTGCTGATCTAGGCCTTATAATTTTATATACGTGCTTTTTCAAAATATGCAGCACAAATTATATTTTATCTAGTTTAATCAGTGGTGGGTTGCTACTGGTTCTCCCTGGTTCTTGTGAACCGGTAGTGGAAATTTTGAGTAGTTTGGAGAACTGGTAAATTCCACCTCTGCCTGGCCCTGCCCCCAATCTATTTGCTGCCTCCCGAGTCCCAGCTGATCGGCTAGAAGGAAAAAATCAGGGCTCACTTGACAAAGAAGAGGAAAAAAAAACAAGACATCTTAGCTTTAAATTGAGAAGCCAAGAAGCCTTCCAACTGATCGGCTAGAACCAATCCACTCCTTGTAAACCGCTCGGTGGTGGTAGATTGGCAATTGAGGCCAAGCTGCCTGAAAGCGGTTTCCGATGCTCTCGGTGGTGGCAGAGTGGCAAAAAACTGTTTAAACTCTTGCCACAGCGCTTCAAAGGGCCGCCCTACAGCTGATCAGCGGTAAAAGGCAGTGTGATGGTAGACCGGTGCGCTCCAAAAACAAATAGGTAGACCGGAACACTCCAAAAACAAATGGACTGGTATGCTCCAAGAACAAATGGGTAGACCGATACGGCTCTGCAAGCAATTAAAAGCCTGGTAGACCAGTACCTCTGCTAAATCCTAAAGAATTGTTTGTCTCATGACCATCAAACCATGCCCACAAAATAAGCCACGCCCACAGAACCGGTAGTAAAAAAATTTAGAACCCACCCCTGAGTTTAATGTTTATATTTTATTTCATATCTCTTTTTAGTCATTATTCTTTCAACTGACTTGGACGTTTAGAATATATTTGTGCTTTGTCATACTCACTATGGACTTCCCCTTACTCTATAGATGTTGAATGTGACTGGCGATGAACAAAAGTTTGCTCAGCCCAAGTTCAGATCCTGTCTGGGAACATGAGAAACTTCCAACTTTTTGCAACCCCATCCTCTACTCTAGGATCCTATTCAGAACATTGCACAGAGATAGCAATGGTTGAGAACATTTCCCCCACCATTCCAAAGAGATCTTAAGCAGTCACATTTTCTTTCTGCCAGATAGGAGGTTTGTATCATCTAGCGGCCACTAATATGCCTTCTCTGGAAAGCTGTTTTTGCAATGGCTTAATCACATGAAATGCAAAATAGATTATTAATAGATGCACTAGTTGATTATACTTTTAAATGATTTGCCTATTAAAAGCAGGGCAGAAAAGTAGCACTAGAACAATGGCTAAAGGACTACTGTTTTTCAATTTTAAATAATAAATGTAACACAGTTATGCAGCACTAAGAATTATAAGACTACATAAGTCCAAGGGGAAACAACTGCTGGGAGTGGAGGGAACCCCTACCACCTTAGCAAAATGGATAGGGATGGAACCCCAGCAGATGCCTTCTACTACCCACTTGGGAAAGTATTTTTAAAATATCAATAGAATCTGCGGATAGGTCATTTAGGTACAGTGTAGACTGCCACTGCAGAAGGATTTATTTATTTATTTATCAAATTTATACACTGGCCATCTCACTATTTAGGTGACACTCAGCCATTTATAAGTAAAAACCGTAAGAGTGGTTATGTAACCCAGGCACTTGGAAGAAATCTAGTGGGGCTGACAGCAAACTGCATCTTTGAATAAATGTAGCTTTACATTTGTCATCCCTGTCCAAGTAGCATAAAAGGCAACCAGACAGTGAATCTGATTATCTCTTTCCAAACACTTGAAGAAATAGAGAAAAAGAACTGAATTCTATGAACGTGCTCTTTATCTATGAAAATGCTATTTGTCTGAGTCCATTTTCTTTGACATCAAAAAGAGGCAGCTCACCTAATCTACCGGTATTTCCAAGTTGTGTTTACTTATTTCACAAACCAAATGCCTACAGGAATAGCCAGATCTTTTATCGCTTTTGTGAAAGTACAGCATGGTTCCAATAATCTAAATGCTCTTCCACAGAGCAAGTGAGGAGACAAAGAAGATCCAGTACCACTCCATTATTTTATATTTAAATGTTAGACTTACCATCCTTATAGGCATTTAAAATTATCTCTCTTCCATCCTATTCACTAAATATTTCTCAAAGTGGCAGTTTTCTTTGCAAATATTAATTTAAGACATGTCTATAATGCCGAGTCACCACAAAAGTACTTACTAAAATAAAACAGCCTGGCAATTTTGATGGACTCCAATGAGAGCTATAAACATCTAGTTATGGAAGTAATAAGAACTAATCTTA